TCCCCCTTTTTTATGATGACAACTAATTGATGACAGAGTTAACCTTAACACTCTCTATCAATATGTCATATTGATAGAACTCTTGAATTCAAAAATTCAAGCAACATGTCATCATAAAATTATACATAACATCATTATACTTCTCTCCCTTTGTCATCAACAAAAAGGAGAAGTACAATTATCAAGTGTTTGAGTTGCTAACTTTACAACATACAAGTTAGTAACAATTTTGAGTTGTGAAAGTTTACAAATTTTACTTATTAAGATAGGCAAGATAGCACTTTTGTTTCTTTTGATATTACAAGCTAGCAATTTTTGGTGATGTTCAAGATAGCAAGTTTTTGAAAAAGAATACGAGACAGTAAATATCAAGTTTAGAACATCCAAGCTAGCAAGTTTTTCACGTATGAAAGTTGACAAAATTTTTATAAGATAGCAACTTTTTGCTTCTCATTATAATATGCAAGCTAGCAATTTTTAGCTAATTTTTGTCATGCACAAGCTAGTAAGTCTTTCTCTCCCTTTGTCATTATAAAAAAGAAGGGAAGAATATAATGTTGTAATTCTTTTCCCTTTACATCAATTTTGTCATGACAAAGATAAAGTATCATTCTTAATTCAATATGTTTGTGCATCATTATAGTTTCAAATTAAAACATACATAATTTTAAAATCTTGCATTTCATTCATGCATGATATCAAAAATAAATCAATCATCACTATGAGCATATCATACATGATACTAAAGCATTCATTATACCAAACATTAAATCAATATTTTTTAAATATTTATCACTTTATGATTGTTGGTACCAAACATTCATCATTTATTTTCTCCCTCTTTGTTATAAGCAAAAAGAGGGAAATAACACAAATGTGTAAAGATATCAAGAAAAATTTGATGATTAGATATACTTCATGAATTCAAGGAATCATATGATAAAAGGAAAGTCCAATTACGATAAGATTGCCATAATAGTAAAAGCTCTCTTAATTATTATATTATTATATTAGACTATTTGCTCTCGCCTATAAAAGGATAGGACCTCCTAAAGATGAACCATCAGAAATTTGGATTATAAATTTATACTTAATCTCTCTATGCCTCTATTTCATTGCTTATAATTGTCCAATTAAACATAGGAAGAATGAGGAGGTTATTCTAGCTCACCTTGAAAATCAGATTCGATAACGGTGTATTTTTAGATCAAAGAAAGATTTTTTGAATAGAGGTATATAATCCTGATCTTGATTCATTTTTATTTGATTTCGATTCTAGCATTAAAGAAGTTTTCGTATAACAAAAGTATTTTTATTTTTTTATGCTTATATTGTTCGGATATAAAAAATATTTACTAATCCACAAAGTATAGTGATTTATTCTATGGAGACAATGATAATCTTTCTAAAATAGTTTTTTAAAAATAAAAGATTTGATATTTTTATCTAGTATTCATGATCCAATAAAATATAACAAGAGATATATCTAGAACTATTTCATGCAAACAAAATGATGATACTAGGGAAAACTACTAACGCTTCAAGATGATCCGTGTCATACAACAACACAATCATTGTTATATCTGCTAATGATTATAAAGTTCAATCATATAAGATAACATAGATATCGTTTATTTTATGACCCAATTTAGATTAAATGATAATATACACTCACTCATAAACAGTTATCAAGCATCATTGGGCAATCTGAAAACCATCATCAATCAAGGTAGAAGAAGATAAATTAAAAGAATTTTATATCAAAAAAGGTAATATCTACTCATTTACAAGACTTCAAAATTTTCATTCAGATTCTCATTTTTAAGAGTAGATTTTGACGCGGAATAGGAAACGCTACTTAGTCTTTATTAAGATTCAGAATCCGCGCATTGGCTTCGGAATTGCAGACATCCGCATCTCTTCTTCATTGAATCTCACTATCTTTTGTTCCACACTTTCTCTTTGCTTGTTATGACACCTTTTCTGTTTGTTTTGACAAAGGTGGATGCTCGAGGTGGTTCAAGATCATGGAGAGAGACGACGTTCGCTTTCATGCCATGCCCGAGTGGGTGAGCAACTTGACAAGGGTGGAGGGCGGCACCGATGTCCGCTTCATCGCGACCAAGACCATCGGGAACTCCGACCTCGTCTCAGACCAGAATTGCTTCCACCTTCCTGAGGACTCCGTCAAGGCGAATCTCATTCCCATGCTATCAGAATCCGAAAGGGGCGCTGCAAGCCTCTTGGAGGACGACAGAAAGAGGAGCAGGCCCAACGACAGAGTTGCGCAGATGGGTAAACCCGTGGAAGGGAGGGAGCACGGGGGGCTGCCGGTTACGGTGTTCCCCAAGTGCAGGTTCCGCTGCTACTTGGAGCTCACGCGTTGTGACTGCAACGGAGACACTGTCATCAAGGGCAAGGAGCTGAAGGTCTTCAACCTATGGAGTGCCCTGAAGGCGGGTGATGAGGTCGACGTATGGGGCTTCCGTCGAGAAGGTAACCTCTGCTTCACCATCGGGAAGTCGACCTCGTCATCATCAAGCTCTTGATTGTGTTAAGCGGAGAACAGCACATACTATATAGACTCTTGGCTTATCCCAAGAGAAGTCTTAGTATGAGATGCAGGATGTTGATCTTATATATGTTAAAAGGACATTTAATGTCAAAATAATCATCTACATTTGATATATATATATATATATATATATATATATATATATATATATATATATACGAATTAGAAATAGAATATAGAGGATCAAACTGATAGTTCAATAAAGATGCAGAAGGTCACATATTCAGTTCTTTTTATGAGAGTATGTATGCTTAAGAAGCCTTTGGGACATCAACATCTACAAGATTTTTTCCATGTAGCTTCGTTGAACAATTATTCGTTGATATGTTCTCATGACATGTAATATACACCACTGAATAATATTTTCGGAGAGAGAGAAAGAGTGAGAGATTGATATCATTAAATAAAATAATATTCTCCTATTTTAATTGGATAAATTGGAAATAGAACCCATAACCAAGCGTGATTCTTGACATTTTAATATGTAATATACACCACTTGCATTTGGAGAGAGATGAAAATGTTAGAAATAACAAATGAGATGTGATGATCCTTCAAGATGTGGCCGTTGTGATCCCAAAAAAGACTGCCTCATGTATTCACGAAGCCTATAAGAACACCAACTTATAGAGCTTGATGTTATAGGAAGTTCAAAATAATAGAAAGTGAGATGCAAATCTTCTTCGATACTTAAGTTAGCAAAAGATTTTTATGATTCGGTATGCGCTAAGTCTTTAAAATGATTAGCTTGAATTAAACGAGAATATGAGATGATCTAAGATGATGTCTGTGTTCTTCTAATAGTATACCAATCTAATATTGAAGAAAATTATACGAAATTGAATTATAATTAAGAGAATGGAAGACTGAGTTATACGTAGCATATACACCATATGCGAGAATCATGAGTTTGCTCAGTATTAATATATTAGGAGTTAAAGTGTCATCATGTTGAGTTGGCATCCTCGTATTAATAAGGTATGGATCATATGTTATTGAGATATTAGCAATTCTTTGATTGTTTTATCAATTATTTTTAATATAATTTTCAATGCCTTTGGAATGAGATAATAAGGCCAAAGTATAAGAAAATAACTAATGAAACAATAAATTACATGGCATTTTCTAATGATATCAATTAGTTATCTCTAAATCAAAGTCCTAGAAAATAAAATTGGACCCTACTCAAACTATAATCCAATCGAAATTATTATTTTTTCTTCGAAGTCAAATTACGTACTTACATATAAGCAAAATTATGTTGACTATCAAATCGAATAAATGCAACACTGTTACGACTCTCTCTCTCTCTCTCTCTCTCTCTCTCTCTCTC